AATGTTTTGACCTAGATGTGGAAGGATATTTTTACATTTCCCACATAATTGTTTTCATGAATGGATTGTTGGAATAAGAATATGCCATATTTTACTAGTTACTACACAATATTACAGAATATAACACATCAGTGCATGCTGGATAATAAGGTCTTATACCTATAATAAAAGGCATGGACACCATAAACTTCTCTTTCCCTTCACTTTCCACTTGTATCAGTGACCATACTGGCTATTCCCAGTTCTTCTGGAATCTTAAATAGAACTCAGTATGAATTTCTTCTAGGAGTATAAAGCATGGTTTAGTCTCAGATATATTTCAAGCTTCAAAACTGTTTTTCCTTAAAACTCATTTAAAACAGTTTGTTATCTCTAGCAAGAGACTCCTAACTGAAAATCATAAGTATGTTGGTTTTCCTTTTTGATTTCTTTGTTTCATCCTACATTCGATCATAGAAAAAAACGTAATATCTTAGTGGTGGTGAGAGCACTTGCCTTATATATGCTTTATATATGTGAGCACTCGCCTTATACATAGTGCTGTGCTTGACCCCCAGTACTATATAAAGATATAATATATATACATACACACATATATAATGGTTTTTATATATGTATATGTATAGTATACTATAGTATATATGTATATAGTATATATAGTATACTATAGTATTCTATAGTATAGTACATAAACCTTCTAAATAAAAATCAAAACCATAGTACAATATCTTGAAGATGCAGAGAAAGCACTCAAACACACAAAAATACTTCTCTCAGAAATTCTCTTCCACAGCATGCAGTTTAACTTCTGCTTTTAGAAAGACATTGCGGAACTTGATAGGTGGGATAGCGAGGAAGGTGCTTGCCTCTCATGTGGCTGACAGGTTGGCCTGACACTCTAGAGTCCCCCAGGATTATTCCTAAGTGCAGGGGTAAATCAGAAGTAAACACTCAGCAGATCTGGGATTGTCCTGAAATAAAAACCAAAACAAACATACAAACAAAAACAGAAGATATTGTGAGTCTGTGCATTTTACACTAGCACGCGACAGGGACAAATGGAGACGTTACTGGCGCCCGCTCGAGCAAATCGACGACTAACGGGAAGTTAAGTGATTAAGTGATTAAGTGTGCATTTTAGCTTTAGCTATATCTCATTACTTGTTTTGAATGTGTCAGAGTATCAGTTTTTATATGTTCAGGTCTTCTCTAATACATCTTAATTATTCTTTATACATTAACTGAAGGACTGGAGCAATAGCACAGCAAGTAGGGTGTTTGCTTTGCATGCGGCCGACGCAGGTTCGATTCCTCCATCCCTCTCCAAGAGCCTGGCAAGCTACTGAGAGTATGCCACCCACACCGCAGAGTCTGGCAAGCTCCCCATGCCATATTTGATATGCCAAAAACAGTAGCAACAAGTTTCACAATGGAGATATTACTGGTGCCCTCTCAATCAAATCGGTGAACAATGGGAGGACAGTGTTACAGTGCAACAGTGCTACCTTAATTGAAAGCTTTATTTCTATTATTGTAACACTTTTATTGTAATTAGTTCCCAATGTTAATGTTTTAGTCAAGCAGTCATTAATAGTCATTAATTATTATCATTCCTGAAAAACCCTTGCTTAATGTCTACATTTTTTCTTCTTATCTGAAATTATATCCTAAGTGAGAGAAACTGGGGACATTGGTGCTGGTATATATACAAAAAAATTTACCTTTGATAATATCCCGTGTTTTTCTTTTTAATTTTCAATTTTTTTTAATTTATACAAAAATCACAATTGTTAATTCAATTTTAGGGCTGAAATTTAGATAATGAAACACCAATATTAAAATAAATAAGTTTAAATAATCAATTTCCCTATGTGAAAACAATATATCTGATTATGGGATTATTGAGTATTTGTCTACTTGAGCCTTTTGTGTTATTGATTTTGCTGAGTTGAGTTGGGTACTTTCCAACCTTATTTGGTGTTTTCCAACTGAAATTTCAGTATTATAGAATTAGGAAGTGTCATGAGCTGCAGTCCAAAGACTTCAGGATTGATGATCTGGGTGACTGAGTTGACATGGTGACAGATATGGAAGTGGGTTTGGCTGCCTGTGCTTCTGTAAGTACATAGGTGGGGATGGGGGCACTCCCACCCAACTCCAATATACCAGGCAAGATACCAGAGTTCCTGAAGCTATTTAAAGTTTGGCATCTCTGCAGAGAATATTCATGAAGCCATGTTGCTGAACCCTTGGCATGGCTGCAACAGCGAGTTGTGCTTGCTGGGGCTTTGGTATGTCCTTGGCGTACCAGCTTCCCGAGGGTGTCTCTGAAGAGTTTAGACATGGGGACTGGTGTTTCCACAATTTTTATTTAGATATATTTTGTTTTGGGGTCATATCTGGCAGTGCCAGGGGTTATTCCTGGTCCTATACTCAGGAGTTATTCCTGGCAGCTCAGGGGACCGTATGAGATTCCTAAAATTGAACCTAGATGTCTGAGTACAAGACAAGGCCTTCCTAGCTGTACTATCACTCCAGTCCTCTTTCCATAAATTTTAGCTGCTTGGCGTATATCTTCTTGGATACTTACCCAGGAATCAGTCAAATGGTGAGTCAACATGGAAGTGGCTATGGAAAGGTGAGCCCCCATGTCATTTTTTAACCACTGAAATATAATTTAGAGTATCTTTGCCTATACGGGAGAATCATTCTTAAAATGTAGTGGAGTTTATTGAAAAAATATGTATTTAATGTCAACTTTTGAGTACCCAGTTTATTCAGATCTTAGTTAAGTTAAATGAACACTTCATTACTATCAAACTTTATATTTCATTTGCATAAACACACACAAATATAACTCCTATTAATGAGGAAACTTTGGCTTACAGAAAGTTACTAATAAAGACCAGGAAAACTTTTTGAAATTAAAGCAACTAATTTTTAGTCAGCATTTGCTTAGTACCTTGCTGAAACTATTCCTGTTGTCATTGGTAAAATAACATTAAGCAAGATAGACAGATATATAACTTCCCCCAAAGCCTGAAAACTAGAAACTTGATCCATATTTTACTTCTAATATCAATATGCTTTGTTCTGTTTCAGGTGATTATTTACTAATAGTTCTCATACCATTCAATAAGAAAAGTTCTTCACAAGTGCACTTATTCAACTTATTCGTTCCTTAATGCTTGGAATTATGTGATTTATCCTAAAGTCATATTCTCTGAAAACAGTTCAAGACCATTTCATTATATAAAAATATGTAATGCATTGAAATTTATTATTTTTATAGAACATAAATCACAGAATAGATTTAGTATACAATGTCCAAAGACTAGCATTTCAAGCCCCTTAGCCATATGTATCAGTAAATGTGGTTCCTTATTCAATTTCTGTGACATTTTGAACTATGAATTGGCCCATAGATTGTTGGTGTCTCTTTCTTTAGCCTATATTAACCTATTTCTTCCAAGGATAGGATCCTCTACAGAAAAACAGAAAACCATGGTGTGAGCTATGAGAAACTACTTTCTTATATTATGTACCACTTACAATAAATTGGTACATACTTATATATTCATTCTTTTTAAATTTAAACTGTGTCAATCTAAGCTGCAAAAGTGTCAATATTTTATTGGAAAATTCGCTGTCCACTTTGGCATTCTTAACTATTTTATTGATTCTATCTTGTTCATCAATGCTTATTTTATGTTCTATTGTGGAATTTTAATTTCCCCCCTTTTCATGTTCTTGTTGTGATGAATATATCATACACACTTTGTTTTGGTGCTCAGCAGAACCCACATACCAGCTCCTGTGTGCACACACTCATTGCTCATGGAGGTTTACAAAGCCCATTTGCAGTACTGACTCATGCTTTCTGGGGGCATACTCATGTTGTGTGACACTTGTACACATTCTACTTCATTCTCTCTCATACTGTGCTCATCATCAGTCAGGTCGTTGTCTTCAGTGCTTGTGCATCTTTAGCTGTGGTACTTGCACACACCTGTGTTCCAGAGATTGTATATTCTACTCCAGGCATAGGGTCTGTGACCATGCTTAGTGTATGTGGTAGGCACAGGGATTCAATTCATGGTCCCATGCTTGTAAGCCACTGAGTACTTTTAGCCACTGAGCCTTTCCCCAGCCCTATTGTGGATTATTTAAAGAGATTTATGTTTATTATTCGATGGGTAAAAGTCATGCCCCTGACTTTACAATGAAAATTTATAACAAATGGGGCTGGGAGATAGTAGAGTGCTTAGGGCACATGTCTAGCATGCTCCCTACCTGAGTTTGATTCCTTTCACCATTCAGTTCCTCAAGCACTGAAAGAACAGTTCTATGTGCCCCCAACATAACCAAGTTGTCTGGACTGATAGCCTTTTCAGCAGAACACAAATGGCATCAGATCTTCAGGCCCTTGTACTGAACCCCTGACCCAGTTAGCAGAGAATTACCAGTGGGACCCTGATTTTCAGAAATATCACTTGTGAGCCCACTCACACACAAAATAATTTAAAAGAATGGTTTGAATCTACAGAAATACTGTTGAAAGTAAAAGGTAAAGGGTAAAGGCCCTCCCGTTGATCATCGATTTGCTCGAGCGGGCCCAGTAACGTCTCCATTGGAGACTTTGTTGTTACTGTGTTTGGCATATTGAATACATCACGGGGAGCTTGCCAGGCTCTGCCGTGCGGGCGAGATACTCTCGGTGGCTTGCCGGGCTCTCCGAGAGGGGCGGAGGAATCGAACTCGGGTCGGCCATGTTGGCTGCGTGCAAGGCAAACACCCTACCGCTGTGCTATTGCTCCAGCCTGTTGAAAGTAAACTTTGATAATATTAGCAACAAATTAATTCAAATGTTGAAAAATAGGAAAATTTTCTAGAATAATTAAAATATTAAACATTATTAATATTTATCTGCATCTTAATTGTCTGTCTACTTGTTGACTTACTCTCTGAGATAAATGCTGTTTTGTATATTTTTCTCTCAGGAGGTTGAGTTATGTCGTGTTAGCAGTCAAGAGAAGCTGGGCCTAACAGTCTGTTACAGAATGGATGACGAAGAAGACATGGGCATTTATGTAAGCAAGGTAAGGGATGCTGTGGAGGAGAAATTGGGGGAGGGAAACTCTAAGGAAAAAAGTGAAATCTCTTGAAATGACATATATTTAGGAGTCTTGAATGGGAGGTATTGGCTTTGCTTCAGTATTTGTCACTTTCAATTAGGAAAGTGAATTATATTACCCAGGTAACTGTAATTATTGTAAATTTGTCCAATGTAAATATTTTCACTGAAGACTTCTGACAAAGAAAAATGAGTGAAATTTAAGGCAGTTTTTGTTCATCAAACATTTGCCCTTCCATTGCAGTTTTTCATCAATTCCGATAATAATATAATTGACAAATTCTTTTAAATCTAATGTTTATAATAATGGCATTTACCCCATTGGTGGAATTGATAATTTCAAAGATCAAAATATCTTTATTTGTATTTTAATTGTCTTTATTTTATTTACTTTATTTGCAGTTTGTGCTTTTATTTTGAGCTAGTATTGTATTGTAACGTCACATTCCAGTTCTGTGTCTTTGAAAAATCAAAATGTGCATATAATACTGTAAGTTCACCACTAATAGTACACTGCTAAAAGTCATTCACTATACCATTTTCCCAGTTTTATTGAACCATAATTAGTTTTTTTTTAATTTTTATAATGTTGTTCACAATAATGGATTACATTCAATATTTATACAGCAGTCTCATCATCATCAAACCTTCCCACCACCTTTATTTAGAATTTTCCACCACCACTCAAACCTGCCAAACAGGAAGATACTAGGTAATTTATTTGTATTGCCTGCTATGAATAACATAGGATGTTGCACAGCTGTGAGAGTGGCCACACTCTCCTGGAAATCTAAAATTTTAGATAATTAGGGTCTGGAGAAATCTCTGCAGCGAGTGCGCGCTTCCAAGATTTGTTTGTGTGTCTCTGGATCATGTTCATTAAAGAGCTTAAATAGTCACTGGAGGAAGCTTGTGGGCTTGACATCCAGGGTACCATCAGGGAGGGGAGATGGGGAGGACCGCTCCATCCCCTCTTCCATGAGATCTCAAGTTTGCCATCACTGAAACCACATACCTGGGCTTTTCACTGGGTTCTGGAAGATGGCAGCCGCTGGGATTCCTAGGGGCCAGGTTGAGGGACAATGCCTGTTTCTGCCTGGTGAAATTGGCCTGGTGCAAAGTCAGGAGGCATCTCAGCAGTGAGCTGCTTGGTTCAGAAATTCTTTTGTGTATCTGAAACCATAATTAGTTTTAAAACAGACTTACTTAAATATTAAACACCCTCAGTTTCAATTATCTTGAAAAACATAAAATAAATTTTAATTTTAAATAAACATTTTAAAAATTCCCAAAGATGTATTTTCTGAGTAGAAAGATATGATGCTTTAACTATTAACTTTTTGTGATTTAAAATTACACATGCATGCATATAAATATGTATACATGCATCCATATTTCCAGTTCCTCTTTAAGAACACATATATGTGTGAAATCACATGTGTATGTGTGTTCATATATTTTTTATTATATACAATTGCTGTTCCATACTTTTTCAAATTTCTATGCCCATGAGCTTGAAACATTGCCTATATTGCCAAGTTGAAGTACTTGCAACTAGATAGTACCATTATTATCAATGGCTTTCATAATGGTATTTAAGTATGGGAAATATAATGTAAAATTACATATAGAATATTGTACAGCTCTACAAATGTAACTGCTTCTCTTTGCCTCTTCGACACATAATTTATCATCTTGTAGTAGAAAATTTAGAGACTCTTTGACTTTTACCTTTTAAAAAATTCTGCACAACTATTTTAACTCCTCATTAATATAAGAAAATATAGGAAATGCAGAATTATTTTTGCAATATATACTGGGGTTTAAAAGTTAGTGTTAATTTGATGACTTATAATGATACAATTTATATAGGCAATAGTTTCTAAATGGGGTACAACTAATAAATCACATCTCAAATTTACTATAAACTGCCTTTAGACTTCTGTAAGTCAGCTTTGCAATCTTTTCTTAATACATCTTACATGTAATTATACTTTATTAACTATTGAATTACCAATAAACATCCATTCATTAAATGGCACAATATAGTAAGAATGTATATTTAGCTGCATGGGGCACATCAATATTATGTTATAGTTGTCATATTTTTCTAGAAAAAAATGTTTTTGGGGGGTTGGCTATATATCTGGTGGTATTCAGACCATTCATAATCAACAATTTTTACTGAGAAAGATTTGATATGCATTCTATTAATCAATAAAAAATTGATCTGAGTTATAATTATATTTTCCTTCCTCCCTCTCTTTTTTCTTTCTCTCTTTCTCTCTTTCTTTCTTTTCTTTCTCTTTCTCTATTTCTTCTTTCTCTGTTTCTCTTCCTTTATTTCATTCCCTCTTTATTCCTTTCATTCTGCCTTTCTTTTTTCTTTCTTCCTTTAATTCTGCCTTTCTTTCCCTTCCTTCCTTCCTTCCTTCCTTTCTTCCTTCCTTCCTTCCTTCCTTCCTTCCTTCCTTCCTTCCTTCCTCCCTCCCTCCCTCCCTCCCTCCCTCCCTCCCTCCCTCCCTCCCTTCTTTCTTTCTTTCTTTCTTTCTTTCTTTCTTTCTTTCTTTCTTTCTTTCTTTTCCTCTTTTTTCTACACTAAAGGTAGATCCAAATAGCATTGCTGCAAAAGATGGCCAAATTCGAGAAGGAGATCGTATTGTACAAGTATGTAGTTTGGTTCTTTTCTTAGGTTTCTGATAATATGTCAGTTTTGATTCTATTTTGCTTTTTGTATTTGCTACTAAATAGTAATATCTACAAAGCAAAATTTACAATTAATGGAATTTGTGTTTTTGTTTTGCTTTGTTTTGGGCTCACACCTGGCACTGCTCAGGATTAACTCCTAGTTCTATGTTTAGGAATTTCCTGTTGGTGTATATGTGATGCTATGGAATGAAGTGGGGCCTGCCACATGCAAGGCAAGCACTTTAACCTCTGTATTATCTTTCTGCCCCCAAAAGCCACCATTTAAGCCCCATTCATAAGTTTGTTACCATTTATTTTAAATTATCAGCTAACAATTCATGGTGATTGAAAAAAATCTATACTCACAAAACTTAAATTCAGCTTCCAGTTCAATTCGTGCTCATTAATTACTCATTACCACCTGTTTTATCATCTTAAAATGCCAATAAAATGATAGTAGTAAAACATATTGTTGAGGCTTAATATGATAATCTTAGTGAACAAATGGTAAGTAACAAGAATCTATTGTGATTATTACTGCCAGCAGCATTGGTAGCTGCTGCCTTTTCCAGAATAAACCATGTTAACATAGGTCTAGTTGTTCTATTCTATTCTTTTCCTTTTTTTTACTATCTGCACTTTTAAAAAAGAATTGTTAGTGAATCACCATGAGGTACAGTTACAAACTTACAAATTTTCGTGCTTGAGTTTCAGTCATACAATGATCGAGTACCCATCCCTCCACCAGTGCCCATTTTCCATCACCAATGGTTCTAGCATCCCTCCCACCACCCCTACCCCATCTCCTCCACCCCACCCCGTCTCTGTGGCAGGTGCATTCCCATTTGCTCTCTTTCTCCTTTTGGGAGTTGTGGTTTGCAGTAGAGTTATTAAGTGGCCATCATTTTTGGTCTATAGTCTACTTTCAGCCTGCATCTCCCATCCCAAGCAGGCCCTCCTAGTACCCCTTACTTGATGGTCCCTTCTCTATCTGGGCTGCCCTTTCCCCCAGCATGTGAGGCCAGTGCCATTATTTTCTAAAAGTCACAAAGTATGAAGAAAGGAGTAATTAGGTACAGATAAAGCAATGTGCTTCTTCCCCCGTCCATATAGAGGTATAAAACAATGATTAAATTTATTTAGTGGAAGCTATGGTAGTAATTTTGTGGTGAAGGTGGGGGAGAACGTAGAGCTGCACAGTGTGTGTGTGTGTGTGTGTGTGTGTGTGTGTGTGTGGTCAATATCTAAAGATGTGGCACAGGTGATCAAAGGCATTCCTGAAGGCATGAGTTGCTGAGTTTAGTGTTAATTCCGGGCACTACATGGCTTTGTATCTACCTACGCAACTACATTGTGCAGTGTAGTCCCTATAACTAACAAAATGAATCAAATCGGAACAAAAAGTTTCTATAACCCAAATGAGAAACAACTTTGAAAGCCAGAATTTCTTTCATAACCCTTCCTTTAGCCACCTTATTCCCTCTGAGCCATTCCATATGAATGGCTGAAGACACATTGCTTCAGCTTCTTGGGTCCAAAAGAACCAGTTGTGTTTACTGCAGTTCAAGGTGCAAAATAGGGAGGAGGAGTCAGAAGGCAAATTAAGAAAGTTACAGGCTGTCAAAACTTTTTTTTTCCTTTTTTATCCTTTCAGTAAATAGATAGAAGGGAAAATAACCTTTTGAGGCTCAGAATCATGTTATGTAAACAAATATTACACAATATAGTAGTAGCTCAAAGACTGAAAAGTCTACATGATTTCTGTCCCTAAATATTAAAAGACCTTTGTTGGTTATAATTTTCTATTTTTTTCTGAGTAAACTGTCTCTTGTTAACCCAGCTGTCATTTCTTCCTCTCTATTTCCTATTTACATTTACATCCCACATCTATCACAAATCATTAACTCTCTAGTTTCAATCTAAGCTTTCTATCATTACCAGCTGCATAAATAGTTCTTAAATTATAGTCATGTGACTGTAATTGCATAAAATAATGTACATTAATTTTCACGTATTCATAATATATGCTATATTCATAATATGTACTTTGGTGCTTGGAACACTATTATATACAATGCTGGAGAATGAACCTGGTCAGCCACATGCAAGGCTACACCCTACCAGCTGTAATATCCTTCTAATCCCATAATACACTCATTAAAACTTCATTATTCTCACTTACATTGTGAGCAAATAATTTTTTCAAATAATGTAGTTAAGTGATCAATGTAGTTATAGGACAGAAAGATATTCCATAATGGAGCTAAATGTTTGCAGATAAATAAGAGCTGATGTGCTGTAATCTGTTTGATTACTTTACTTTGTATTCGGTAACAAGTGTCATATTTAACAAAGTCAAACCACATTACAAAGCATAAGATTCAATGCTATCTGCATAGACAGAAAATAGGGTCTGGAGGGTTATAGTGAAATTATATTGAATACAACTATAACAAAATTATACCCCTGACAAATAGGTCCCATATGGCTGATGAGGAGACTCTGGGAAACTCTGTAATGAACATTTAATTATTCCTTTCCCAAGAAGATAAGAGTGTTGAAAAGAGGATTTAATTCTTATCCTTGAAATTTCCTGAGTATCTTTTATTTAAATGAATCTCATTAGGGCAGTTGTGATTTTAATTTCCTGATAGCCTAAGTAGTATATTTCTATGGCTATACTCTCATTATGTAGTTTTATTTGGTGAAAATAGAACAACACAAACCAGTTAGAAGACTTCACCCAGGGGAACTGCCCCTCTCCCCCATGTAGTCCTGTCTTCTCTCCCCCCACACAATTGATATAAGGTAGAGATAAAACAGAAGGGAAATCATGTACTAATGTAATGATTATAAACTCTAATTAAACTTGGTTTTGTTTGTTTGTTTCCTGCAAGTCCTTGACAGCTCTATTTGCTTTTCCATTACCACAAACTTTTGTATATGATGTGTCCCCAGGAATAAATGTGAATTTTCATTCACAAAATTATAGAACTAAATAAATGAGATATTCCTAAGCCAGCGAATAAGCATTAAAGATCATAGACAGTATCTAGTTTTCCAAAGGGAAAGTTCTGTATTCTAATCACCTCCTTGGAATAATAAGCATATAATATTCCAGTAAGTAGTCTAATTATATACAGGGCACAAATAAGTAAGATATGTTCCTAAGGACAACTCCCTCTCACATCCTGCAAATATTCCCGAAGTGGAAAAATACAACTCTTAATAAGATTGTTTTTAAAATTTTATAACACAGTAATTCTCCCAGTATTTTCTTCTACTTTGTTTCTTTCATTTGAATAACTGCTTTCTTCTATTTTTATTTTTCAAAAATCTATGTCTTTATATTTTGGATTCAATCCCCAGCACTGCATATAATCCCCTAAGGAAAAGGTCCCAGGAGTGATCCCTGAGCACAGAGCCAGGAGTCAGCCCTGAACATCACTGAGTATGACTTTAAGAACAAAATAATAATAATTCTCCCTTTGCCTTATATTTTAATAACACACCTGTTTTCATACACTAATATAAGATTTAATATTATTAGCTATGTTTTTATTACCTGTTTGGGAAAGCCAGCCACATCTAGTGATGCTCATGATACAATTCATACAGCTTAGAGTTCAAACTGGGCTGGCACAAGCAAGATATGCATTCCAGTACTTTGAGCCATATTCCCATTCCCAGTGTATTGATATGAATGCAAGTTATACTATTGAAATATTTGGTATGCACTAAAATTGATGTTTAGACCAAAAGGTAATCCACACATTAAACCATTTGTAGGATTTTAGTGGTTACAAATACAGACATATATATGTATACACATACAAGAGACTGATTATAAAATGAGATTTTTGACTTATTTGTCTTTATTGTCACAAATCTAAGTCTAGGACTGGTTCCTGAGTACAAAATTCATAATAAGACTAGGCTCTGCTGGGTATGGAAGCAAAATAAAAAACAAATGTAAGTATCCTATTAACTTGTGATAAGGTAACATTTTAGTGCATCATTTGTTTATGAACTCTTCGCCTTTATGTCTGCCTAATATTCTCAGGCATAGCAAGGTGCTTTTTCATACTGAGTCCTATAACAGAGTCATCATTCAGAGCAAGGTCAAGAAAAGGCTGAAAGTGGTATCTGATTCTATTTCTCAAATTTTTATTTTTATTTTATCCCCTTGAGAGTAATCTTTACTGTAAATAATAGCTGCATTTTTTGGTCCTAAAATCAGTTTGGGGGTTTGATATCAAACTAATGTCTAAAGTTGCATCATAGGACTGATTAATGAGTGTCCCTTAATTTTAGAAGACCTGATTTATTAATAAAATATTTTTTTATAATTTAATTGTATCTTGTTTGACTTGCTTGAGTGGAAGGAGGGGCAGACATCATGGTGAGAGAGAATCAATTAAAATAGTCAAGTAGAGGAAACAATATGTACATTATTGCAATCATTTTCTTAAGAGGTCTTTGTTTCACAGAAGAAAAGCTTTTAACTTTCATTTCCAAAATAAATGAAGTAGAAAGTGGTTTCAATAACAATAGAGAATAAAGTTTAGAAAGTAGAGATAATGAGAGTAAATGTCCTGGAAACAATTTAATAGAACAGTCCCAATGTTTAGGTTGAGGACAAAAACTAATGAGAATACAAACTTTATCTGTAGAGAATTTTGTATAATACCTGGAGAAGGACCAAGCTATGTGTAACCCAACTTGTTTCCACAATGCTATAATGTTTTATACAATGAAAGTATTTTTCTATATACATTTCAACTTAGCAATAGTCCATTAAGATACTTAAATACCAATGAAGACATTCATGAAAGAAATCTATATTTCAAAGTGATTACCCTATGTTTACATTAAGGTTTTCTACAGCTACAAGGCAGTAATTATGTAAAACATGGCCACAGAAGTATAAATATATAAGATGCAATGACCACTTCCACATCTAAGTGTGTACTATGTTGTGTTTTTTTTTTCATTGCCTTCATAAAATTTGCTTCTGTTACTTCTTAGCTAAACTGGTAAAAAAATGTAATAATTAAACATAGTGCTCTTAAAATCTATAATCTTCTGGAAGATGAAAGGATTTGTAAACTTTAGAAATCCCATGTAATAACAGCATGGTCACAGATTTTTCTGGGTTGAAGACTTCTGCAACTTTCCTCATAAATCTGACTTAAATTGAGTTGAAATAAAGTTCTGTTTCTGGAGCAATTCTGTGCTATCAGATTGAATTAGTAAGGAATGAGTGCCAAGTTTTGGAGACTAGGGCAATACTTGCAATCGTTATTAATTTAAGTTTTATAACTAATACCTGTTGATGTTTATTTTTGTAGCAAATTTGTTTTTTATACATAATATTGTTAAATATAGACGTTTATGCAACATGTGATCTGTGAGTTATTCACCCCACTTGGTCTCCTTACCTCACAGCTCTCAAAGCACTAATCACTATGAATTTACAGAAGAGAAAGGAGTACTTATTTTAATTTGGGGGGTTTAGGTTGAGGACCTAAACCTAGGTTTTGGTTTGTTTGGGGGTCAGCAGTCTTCAGGTTTTACTCTTGACTCTGTGCTCAGGGACCACACTTGGCAGGCTCAGGGGAACATAGGAGGTGTCAGGAATCTACACTGGATCAGCCATGTAAAAGGCAAAAGCCCTACCTGCTGTAGTATCACTCTGACCCCAAGTTTTAAAGAAATTAAAAACCAAAGTTACTTATATTATTTTTTATGAGTTTCTAAGGCTAAATTTTAATGATATATATAGATATATATATATATATTTTAAGATAGTCATGGTTTATAAAAGATTTTCTTTGCTGAAAATTATATGTTAATGACAGTAACAATTTTAAGATCATCAACAGTAATGTAAGTCAACTTTGATCACCTGACACTTATTTAAACAATTAATAGACATTAACTCATTTCATCTCTATATCAATCCTTGTAAGAAAAGCAATATTATCTGCAATTCACTATAGGAAATATGATAGATATAGTAAACTAACTTGATAAAATATAATTAGATTTAGTAAGTGAATTTAGATGAATTTTGAAGAAGGCATATAATAGACCCAGAAAAGATCAGGGAACATAGAAAAATCAAGAGAAACTCTGAGATACAGAACATATTTCGGAAGATCAAATATGAGTTCTAGTGGATTAATATGATTAGATATATAAATGAAAGACAAATAGATGCATTTCTGGTATCTTTTATTCCAGTTTCTCCTCATTTTTCGGTATTTGCTTTTGAGTGATCTCTGGAAGTTTTCAGGATTTACTCCTGCCTCTGCTCCTGGCAGTGCTCAGTCAAGGTCTATATGTGGTGCTGGGATCAAATCCTGCAAGGCAAGCATCATAGCCACTATAAAGAAATTTAGTTAGAAAGATGTTAAGGGAAAAAAAGAGAAAACACAGGCTTCTCCAGAGTTGAAAAAGTAAAGGAAAGAAGTCAAGAAATGTGTTAAAGAGACATAGGATTAAAAAGAAAAACAAGCCAGAATTGCATGTTTTGATTATATCTTTTGACAGATATAATCATCAATTATATATTTTGGCAATAAATAAGTAAAATAAAACATTTAAAGCAAAACTAAGCTAAACACACTTTAAGTATATTTAGCTAAATGCACTTGAACATGAGGTAATACTTCAATATACAAATTTAAAAACTGCATTTGCTTTATTTCTAGAACTTAAAATATTATTTAAAATGCCAATTATAATTTAATCACTCAACCTTAAGAGATTTTATATAGTGCCAATTTTAATCTATGATAACTTAACAAATTAGGTATATTTTCCAGTTGAGCTTAAAAGTATTTAGTTAGCTTTGCCGTGTAAAGAAATAAATATATCTTAGTAAGAAATGAGTTTTGATGTGAATGTTTCTGATGATAAACTGTTTCTGCTTTTGATTAGTTAAGTGCTAAAAATTGCCCTGAGAATAATTTGGAGCAGCCAAGTCAGGTCTACACAAAAACGTGAAATGATTAAATGAAAATTCAGTCATGAGTGGCCTGGGACCATTGCCTGGAGAGAGATAATACTGCATGCCTCTAATTGGTTCACAGCAAGAATTCGGGATGACGAATTTCAGTTGTGGTATTGCCAGTCCTGCTTCCCCAGCACTATTATCTCAGAGTGACACTTCCATTACTCTGAGCAGAGAAAGATGAATGTCACCTGTCAGAGGCTGGTTAATTGTGTTGCTAGATGTATGTTGCCAGGGTGCAGCTTGGACATTTATGAACAGAACTGCTTCCTCTGATGTCTGCCATCCTTCAGAGATCGATATGGCTCTTCAAGTAAGAGTGTAATTGAGTGAAAGCACTTATCAGTGAGAGGCTGGAGATGAGTCAATTGTGTGAGCTCCACTGTCCATACATTTACCATAAATGAGCTTATATTTGCCATTTATTGTGTGCAGCATTGTGGAAACAGAAAGTAATATGCCACTTTCATTTGTTTTCTAGATAAATGGGGAGGACGTCCAGAATCAGGAAGCTGCAGTGGCACTGCTGTCTAGAGATGAATGCAAGAGGATTGTGCTGCTGGTTGCAAGGCCAGAGATTCCGGTCAGAAAAGATTAGATTCCTTTAATTTATTATTTGTTCTAGATCACATAGGAAATATGTATATTTGTAAAATGAAATATACAAAGTAAAATTGTGTCATATTCCTAACTTAAAACCTTTGATTGTTATCAAAACAGTCATACGTTTTTAAAGACCCCCCTTATTTTTATAACCCATTGCAATTTTGAAAGAATTGTTATCATTCCATTTGTCTGTGAATAGTTTGAGTGAAGGTGGTTATATCATCATTTATCTCTTACATTACTGATTTGATATTTTACAGACTCTAACTAAAACTTGTCTAGAAATTATGTTCAGTAAGTATATTCCTGGGTCAGACTAAAATCTGACATGTATATATTGATTCTGTAAGATATTCCTTTCTACATACATTTCCTTTAATCTCTTGACTATTTAAATTTCTTGCACAAAGGCAATCAAAGTTCAAGGCAGAGAAGTTTCACACCCTAAATATTATAAGTGTAAAAGAATTTTATAATTGTAGGATTGCCTAATATGGAAGCAAAGAATTTAAATACATATAAAATTTCACTAGTTACCTAGAACCTCCAAAAATCAGTTTATTTCACTAATGCCATCTTCTTGAAAAATATCAGGAAAATAGTGCTGAGAATTTAAAATTCAGTAGCCTAGTTGTCATCAAAAGTATATTTGAAATTTTTTGTTTTATAATGATATATCTGTTCTATCCATGTAACTGCTGGCGAATCTTATTAATTTACAATAAAAACATTTATTTAAACTATGTCACATAGTGTATAGAAAGGACCATGAAAAGAAAATGAATTAATGACATAAGACCATATTGTTAGTATTTGATGAATAAGTATGCATAGTAGAACTAGTGGCATTTTAAAATCTGGCTACACTCCTTGACCTATACAAATCAAAGGAGAAAGATGCATTTTTCAAACTAAACTTCAATACAGTTAATGAAAGTTTATCATTTGTCTATTGAATAGACAAAATATTGATATTTACCCCCTTGATCCTAAAATAAATCTTCATTAAATCTTCATAAAGAAGTCCATTGCTTTAGAAAAACATGTAAAATATAATTTAAGTAGCACAGTGCATATGAAAGCAAAGTCAAAAATAAACCCAAAACAACTTGTCTTCAAATTGCTTATATCCCATATTCCTCAATCAATTTTGGTTTTATATTTGCTTTTTTTTTTTTGCATGTCTGTTTTATTTAGGGAGAGCTATGGGGTTTTTTGGTGGGAGGGGGAAGTATGTTTCTTCTAATTTTTTTTTATGTTTTCTGCCAATTTTCTTCTGCCATACTATATTGCTATTCTGTTATTCTGTTCTATTTAATGGAACGCCATATGTGACTCAAAATCACGAGAAAAAAAGACCCAGTACTTTTTTATTTACGTATAAATAAAGTACTTATTTTTATCTTCTGCTTAGTTCTAAGGGAGGGTCTTTCATTACAACACCATTAGTATGAGACACTGCTATTACAGGGAAGTACAAGAAATAAAGGAATTAATAGAGAATTCCTCCATAGTTAATTGTGTAATCTTTTTGTAATACAGGCGTTTTGGTGGTTTTTTTTGTGCATGTATGCATCTTTCACTTGAGGATTGGGGGTGGGCTTCACACTCAGCAATCCTCAGGGGTTACTTCTGGCTCTGCACTTAGGAAATACTCCTGGCGGTGCTCTGGGCACGATATGGGATGCGAGATATGGGATGCAGAGGATAGAATCAGGGTCCACAGTGTGTAAGGGAAATACCCTATCCGTTGTACTATTGCTCAGGCTGCTGCATAATCTTTTTAAAGAATATATTTTTAATTTACTAAGTCACCAAGATGCAAAATTATTCATGAATGAGTTTCAGCACCAAGCTTTTGTCAAGAGTGATCACTTCCCACTATTACTGTTATAGTAATCCTTTCTCTGAAAGAAATATCCTACCCTATTGTGGCAAGCTTTCACTAAGAACCAGTCCTCTGGCCTTTGTTTCTATTGTCTTTGGGGACTAGTATCTTACTAATGTTAGCTGTTAACGTTAAACACAGCTTAACGTTACTTTAAAGGTAACTTTAAACCCAGAGGAATGCTTATTCAAATGATCTGTGATTTAGGGCAGCATATATCTTTTGTATGCAGGGACTACTCCTGGCTTTGTGTTTTGGATTAAATCAAGGTTTGCACTAACTTGAATTACCTGATGCACTATTTTCTTAGATTATAAGAGTTATAGGAAATTATTGATTTCTACCTTGATCTCTCCATATCTTCCCCATAATTTTTCTCAATTTCAAAATACTGTAAAAAGATTTTTTTTCATAGTCGAGGGATAACAAATGCCCAAAGACAATAGAAACTAGTTCTCAGTAGCAGGCTCACCAAATTAGTGAGTGGTGTACATGGGGGTGGGGTAGTAATAATGGTGGTGGAAGGACACAGACACTAGTTGGCGGGTGTGATGCTGGTATGCTTATTTATAAAACCCTACAATTAACAGTTTTGTAAGTCACATGGTGCCTAAAATGAACTTTAAAAAAGGAATGAAGAAAAAAAAAGTTTTCTTTCATATTCACTATATCAATATTAGCAAATATTGTGTTGATCTGACTAGAGAAATTTTACTGGTACACTTATTCTAGACATCTTCCAATAAATATTTTAAAAGCTTTGATTGCCTATATATTAATGACTAAATTATATATACACACACATATACAATAAATTCTGGTATAATTTATTTCATTTCTTCAGTGGTTTTAGATACTTATCTTTAAAGTCCCCCCCATTTTATCAGTGGTAAAAACACCTCAAACAAATTTTAATTTTAGCTTGCTCAAAAGGTGCTGTCTACTTTGTAACAGAAAAATATTATCAAATAATTTAATCAGGGTATACTAAGTATTTATAATTAAGCTCTAGAAATCCACTTTGAAGCAAAATAGCTCTATAGACTGTCAACATACATCATATTAAGAATGTAAATGTTAGTTTTTCACTTCACTTCTGTTGAAAAGTGAAAGAATTTTTTTAATGGGGTCATACTCGGGTCGGCCGTGTTGGCTGCGTGCAAAGCAACTCAGAAGTGTTCTGAACTTATTCCCAGCTCTGTATCCAAGTATCATTTCTAACGGTGATCAGGGGACCATAAATGGTGTCAGTGATAAAATCCTGGTCTGCTGCATGCTAAGCAAGTGCATTATGCACTGAACTATCTCTGATCCTGAAAGTCAATATATTTTAGTTTCATATCTGTAATAAATATTCCCATAAGAATATTTTCACTCGACATATATAAACAAAATCGACTATTGTCTACACTGTTATGCTACCCTACAATACAGTCAATACTTCAGGCAATTTTCTTTGGGATTGTGCCTGAAAATGAATCAGAATGCAAATGTCTTATATTTTTTGAAGAATAAAAACAGAATTCTTTTTACCTTTTCTTTTTTTCAAGTAAAATAAATTATTTCTATATTTGTACCAGGCAACCTACTTGTTAATTTGGTAGCCATCCACCTAAAAATAAAAAAAGAAGATTAAGAGGGGAGTGACAATAGAGGGAAAGAGTAGGGTGGTCTTTGTTAGTAGTCATAATTTGAGGTTGTTGTTAAGAGTCTTGTTAACATGGAAGGTTTTTCTTTTTAATACAAGAACTATTGAAGATAGTGAGTGTGGCTTCTGTGGATTATGTAAGTTTTTTTCCCCTGTATATTTGAAAGACATTATTGTTTTATGCTGTGACATCTACTTTGTTCTGGGAGAAAGTCTGTAATACTATAAGGAAGGATGAAAGCCATTGGAGTCCATTTTTTTAAATGATCTTTTCTTCCTTTTAAGAAGTGAACTATTGTAGGCAGTCCTTTTGAAAATAATTATTATGATAAAAGAAATAAGTCAGGTATCACCATTTAAATTTATCCTAATTTTTTCATGAATTCTTACTAACCTAATATAATGCACTAATCTATTATTTTACAGCTGGATGAAGGCTGGTTGGAAGATGAAAGGAATGAATTCTTAGAGGAGTTAAACTTGGAAATGTTAGAAGAACAGCATAATGAAGCAATGCCATGTACTGCCAACGAAGTAGAGCAGGTAGTAACAATAATTTGAACTTCGTCTTTTGAAATGTAACTAGTGCCTTTCTAAATGTATGATCATAAATAGAAGAAATTGTATAATGAAATAATTTGATCAAACTTTTCTGCAACATGAGGTTGAACATATAGTAAAGCAGGTAAAGCATTTTCCTTCAACATGGATCAATCCTCAACACACATATAGTCCCCTGAGCACTGCCAGAACTGATCCCTGAGCACAGCCATGAGTAGATCAAAGCCTGCCTCTAAATCTCTCCAACAATCATTTTTTTGGTAGGACTACTGCTATTTATTCAGCTACTGATTAGCTGATTGAATTGGGCATGAACTCCACCTCACTTTCTTTTTCATTTTTTATAATTTTATTTATTGAATCACCATGAGAGCAGTTACAAAACTTTCGGGTCTAAGTCTCGGTCATACAATGAAACACCCGTACCTTCACCAGTGCCCATTCTCACCACCAAAAATCCCATTATACCCCCATCCCACACCCTCCCCCTACCTGTGGGGAAGATGATTTCCACATTACTCTCTCTCTACTTTGATCGCGTTCAATATTTCGACACCAGACCTATCATTATTATTTGAGATTTTACCCCAACACTCAGATCTGCTGAAAAGGCAACAGTAGACAATTTGTGTTCTATTGCTGGTTATGAATAACATGATGTCACATGGCTGCAGTAGGGCCATGTCATTTTGAAATTCTGAAATTTTAACACTTAAATCTGGAGGGATTTCTGTCAAAAGCCACTGGGTTTCGAGATTTGCTCCTGAGTCTCCTGACTGCAGGCTCAAGTCCAATGGCCTCTGGAGGATGATGGCCACTGAGCCGCCAAGGGGGAGCAGGCGGAGGGACAGCACCCTTCCCCCCGGGGTGGCCTGGCGACAGTAACCTACTGTGTGGTCCAGACACATTTCTGCCAAAAGCCGCTGGGTTTCGAGATTTGTTTCTGAATCTCTGGGATCATGGCTATTAAGCAGTTCAATCAGGAACCAGAGAGGCCATGACTCCAATTACATAGCTGAACTGGAGGTGGCTTGTAGGTGTGTTTCCCACATACCTAACTTTTGGCCAATTACTTTCTTGGTAAACTTTGCCCCAAGTTTTTGTGGGTCTGTCCAGAGGCACAGCAGCAATTTTGGGGTATCTGGAAGTCTGAAGTTGCCATCAGGCTGCTGATGCACTCGCCTCACAGGTACAGATTGACCTGCTGGCAGCACCATACCCCCGTTCCAACAATCATTATTAAGAAAACATTTTCCTCTCAAATAAAGTAGTGGGATCATAGATTTTTTAAATTTTGTCTATTTTTTTCTCTTTTATCTTTCTTTTTTTTTTATTAGTGAAACACCATGCGATACACTTGTAGACTTACAAACTTTCATGCTTGGGTTTCAATTATATATAAAAAATTAGGAAGCTATATTTTAATCAAAGAATTCATTGTATTGATTCCTTCATTATTTTCCAGACACTTCAAACTCGCCTTATACAATTACTTGAGAAATTTTTATAGCCATTAGAATATATATTCAATTATTTTATTGTGTGTTTTAGAAATAAAGATTTGAAATGTATGAGAAATCCTCCCCCAAATTTTTTTTCTAACTTGAGAGTCTTAGGATCACTGTTAACACAATACTGTAGTTTTCAAAAGTTAACTCAAGTATTTTTAATTCAATGTATGAATTGCACTGTAGCACCGTCTTCCCGTTGTTCATCAATTTGCTTGAGCGGGCACCAGTAACGTCTCTATTGTGAGACTTGTTGTTACTGTTTTTGGCACATTGAATACGCCACAAGCAGCTTGCCAGGTTCTACTATGGGGCAGTATACTCTCGGTAGCTTGCCGTGCTCTCCAAGAGGGATGGAGGACCCGGGTCAGCTGCGTGCAAGGCAAACACCCTACCTACTGTGCTATCTCTCCAGCCCGTGCATAAATTAAATAGTAAAAATGTTTGAGTTGCTTTGTCAATATGCCAGCTGGAAATTATGCAGGACAAAAACTGCATCTTAATACCAACTCCTCCAGAAGAGCAATTTTAGTCTTTAAGATATTAGTATGCCTAATTGCACAATTGGTATAAGATAGTGACATCATGATATAATCCATCAAATGTACCTGTGTTTTCTGTAATAATCACACTTTATACTTCCATTTGAGGTAATTAATATATGTATTAAAATCATATATTCATTCAACAATATATGCATGGTTTGGGACTGGATCTGCCAGTAGCTAGACAGTTACACCCACCAACTGCCGTGTAACCCCAACAACACCCAGGATCCAGAGATTATCACACTCAGCTCCCGGAAGCGGCCCCCATTTGCGGCCGCTCGACATCTTATCATCTCATTCCTACTTTGAACAAACTGGCAGGCTATCGAATGTAAAATGTAATCTGCCCACACGGCAGAGTCTGGCAAACTCCCCATGGCGTACCCAATATGCCAAATACCAGTAACAATGAAGGGTCTCTTTCTCCTAACTCTGAAAGAGCCTTGAATATGGCACTTTTTAAAAAAATCTCAGGACTAGGACAAAGGAGACGTTACTGGGACCTGCTCGAGGCAATCGACGAATAACAGGATGGTTGTGATTGATTGTGATTCATTCAACAAAAAAAATCAGAGCTTCTAATGTTTCAATTATCATGGGTGATCATGAAAATACTACCCCTAATTAATCCACAACAAATAAAATCTCATTATTTAGTATGTGTCAGACTGTGTCTTCAGAGTCTACATTTATGGTACTGTTATTTTCCTTTTAGATAAATACAGGATCAACATACCTTAGACTTTTTATGATTTATTCATATCACCCATCTGCCTGATACAATGTTATTAACACTTCTGTTGTCAGATTACTAATTTCTTTAATTAATATCCTATTTCACAATAAATCACGAACATATCCTCAAAGATACGATTTGTTTCTTTGCTTTAGTTTTGGCCACACATGACTGTGCTTGAGCTTATCCTTGGCTCTGAACTTGAATAAATCTTGCTGGGCTTATGGGGATCATATAGAGGGCCAATCACATGTGTGGCAAGCAACTTACACACTGTACTATCTTTCTAGTGCTAAAAAATATAAAATTTTTAATTATGAAAAATTTCAAATAGCCCTTAATTTTTTACCAAACCGAAATATAGAACATGTTAACACACCACCATCCTATAATAATGTGTACATCTTATATTAAATAAGTCATTAGGTTGCAAACTACAGTGTCAGCATAGTCATGTATGCAATACTATGTGCTGGTCACACACTGGCTCATGAATCAATTCAAAAATAGCAGCTTGTGCTCAGTAGTTACAATTATTTTTCAATATAGGTAGGATAGAAGAAAGTTTTTGTGTATGATTTCAACACTGGGCAAAAGTCAAGATAGTTTTTGTTGGTAATTACTGGTTATTGGCAAAAAATATAAAAATCTTTCTCTAGGCCTTTGCTCTTAGATGATAAGTGTAAATTGTTTCATAAGACAGGAGAAGTTTGGAATAAAGAAAGAAGAAATTGTGTCCAGATTAAGTGATATGTTTCAACGATATGTTTCACATTTTTTAAATGCTGCCTGCTCATCAGATACAATGCTAGGTTTTTTGAGGTAACACAGGATGTTCTTGAGGTTAGAATCTCATTTTGTGGATTTTTTTTCACCATGAGACTGAAAATTTTGAGAACTACAGAAACCTTTAAAAATGCTTTGCTCTTGGGACAGAGCAAGTTTGCCTTGCAGAAGGACAATCAGGTTTGGATCTGCAGCGTCCCCTATGGCTCCCCAAACCCCACTGGGAGTAATCCTTGAGTGAAGAGTCAGGAGTAAGCCCTAAACACCGCCAGATGTGGCACAAAAACAAAAACAAGAAAAAGACTTTTGCCCTTAAAAAATACTACACTATAAATGTCTTGGTAGAAACATTTCTGTCACTACAATAATTCCATTGAATACTTAGAAAAGATAGAACAGCATTAAATCAAAATTATAACTTTGAGTGTGGCAAAAACTTTATATTCTCACATTTTATAATAAACCAACAATCAAAAGATGGAAATTCAGTAATATATAGGTTTACATTCACAGTTAACACTAATACCTATACTTATGAAAGTATAACTTTAATATAACCTATGTCATAAGATTGCACATATTGACTATAGTGTAATTTTCTATCATTTGTATACTAGGTAAAAAAAATTTATCAAAAACCATTCATCTTCTTTTTACTTCAAACTAGAAAAATGTAACTGCAAACAATAGGGTATGTAAGCTCAAATGTCACGGTCACGGTCCTCTTGTTGTTCATCGATTTGCTCGAGCGGGCCCAGTAACATTGTGAGACTTGTTACTGTGTTTGGCATATAGAATACATCACCGGGAGCTTGCCAGGCTTTGCCGAGCAGGCGAGATACTCTCAGTAGCTTGCTGGGCAATCCGAGAGGGGCAGAGGAATCGAACTCAGGTCAGCCATGTTGGCTGCATGTAAGGTAAATGCCTTACCTGCTGTGCTATTGCTCCAGCCCCAAGCTCAAATGTATATTCTCAAAACCATTCTGAAGTGTTTGTGTCACACGCTGCCAATGTCCTATACAGATGTCAGAACATTTGTTGTTATTGCCATTTTATACCTTGGCATATATGTATATAACAAATTTTCTACTGTTAGATACATTTATTTTTAATATTAAATTTTTATCAATAGCATTTAAAACCAAACTTACAATGTTTCCAACAATCATGGGGTGAAATAAGGTAACGGTGAGACTCCCATAATGCAAAACAAGTTATGTGTCTTCCTGCATTTTGTTACATTTTGGTTTACCTTTCTATTGTGGGAAAATAAATTTATCTAGCAGGGTCTAGAGATATAGTACAAGAGGTAGGGTGCATTCCTTGCATATATCTGACACACATTCAGTTCATGGCACCTTATATAATCCCTTGATCACTTTCAGGAGTCATTCCTGAGTACAGTCAAGAGTAAGCATAGCTGAGTATGGCGCTACATATACGAATATATAAAAAGAGAGAACTTTTCAGACTTATTTAAGGATAACTTTTATCATTCTTTTCATGTTTTGTTTGTTTTTGATTTGAGGCAGCATCTTTTTTCAGTCAGGGCTTACTTCTAACTTTGTGTTTTGGGTTAAATTCAGGTCTGCAGCAAGCAAGTTAGTGCCTTACCTGATGCACCATTTTTGCAGTCCCCCTTTTGTTATTTTTTTATTACTAACAAGTTTAATTATATTTAAAATTGTAATCATGTTTGGTAAGAAAAATATTTGTGTATGAAAAATATATACATATAAATATAATAATCAAACAGACTTCCTTATTATTATGGCTTAACTGCTGCCCATTTAATACAAACCCATTAAATACTAATTATAATCACTAGCTTTATTATTATTATAATCACTAATTCTTATATAATTACTATAATAATTATCACTAGGGAAAATACATGTTTATTATTCTCATGTTTACTCTTATTTTTTTAACTGAGCTTTTTGTCTGTGTTACTGCTTTGTATATTGTATATATTCTAAATATTCTTTGTCAATCAAATATAAGGTATTTTGAAAAATTGTGGACTGAATTACTCTATGGTAATTTTTGATAAATATAAGTAAAAAATTTTAATATAGTGAATTTTCCAGCCAGGCGTGGGGGAATAGCCATTTCCCCCACGCCTGGCTGTTCCTTGCCGGGGCCCCTTGGAGGGGAGCGGGTTGAGCTTTCCTCCCCGCCCCGACCAGGGCTCCGGCAGCCAAAGACCTCCAGGACCAGCCACCACCATGCTGAGACCACTCTCCGCACACCTGAAGGTACTGGCAGAGGGACAAATCACATGCAATGATACAACATCCATGATATACAAGAAATCGTAAAATTAGAATAGGGCCTGGCAGTCCTTTATTAGTAAATAGTAAGCTGAAGTTATCTGGTATTAAAACTTCTCATCTATAGATTAAAATTTCTTATAAAGAACTAATTCTATGTAACTAATTATCTAAAGTTATCTAAAATTAAACTATTGAATCTATAAAAAGAACTTTCTTGTTACAAAACTAAGTACTAAAATTCATTAAATACAGAACTACTTACTAAAATTTTGTAAGTTTTAACTTACCATTATCACTATACTTAGACCTAAAAATGTTTCCTTTGGATCTGAGAAGTTTAGGAAAATACGATAATCAAGTGATTTTTGTGCTGTAGATTTCCATAATGATAAATACTACTAGAAAATATACATTTTGTGTATATTATCACCTCAGAAAATGATAGTTATTTTATCATCTTGTTTATCAATGCTATTTCAATTTCCCAAATTAAAAAAGACAAGAATACATTGCTCATATGTATTCTGTTTTATTTATCTTGTCGTGAATATAATAGCCATTTTTAATAATCTTTTGTTTTCCTAATTTCTGACATAAAAAGCTGCCTTGAGCCTTATGTGTAAAATAGCTCTCAATACGAAAATTATTTACTTTCTGGGAACTGCACTTTAATATTTCTAACAAGAGTTTTCAACCATCTTTTTCTAAAATGAATAAATTATTCATTTAACTTTGTTTTCTTAGCCCAGAAAACAAGAAGGCGAAGAGGGTACAACAGACACAGCGACATCTTCACCTAATAACCAAGAGAAAGACAGTGGAGTTGGACGCACAGATGAAAGCTTGAGAAATGAGGAAAGTTCAGAGCAGGAAAACATAGCTGAGGACGGCAGCAGCACGTTGAGAAGCAGGAGAGAAAGGGAACAGAGCCAGGACCCTCCAGGAAGAAGTGAACTTCGGTGCGATGAGAGTTTTGTGTCTGGGGATTGTGTTGGCAACCCTGAAAAGGATTGTGAAAGAATCCGACAGCTCTTAGAAATCAAATGCAAGATTCGAAACCATGGAGAGTATGGTCTCTATTACTCAAGCAGCACAATAGAAGGCAACCAAGGGGAACAAGTGGGAGTAGAACATGAGTTACAGTTACTTAATGAAGAACTAAGAAACATTGAACTTGAATGTCAGAATATCATGCAGGCTCACAGACTCCAGAAAGTCAGAGAGGAGTATGGAAAGATCTGGGCATTGCAAGATGGAGATTTCAAAAATTATAATACCAGCCTGAATATGCAAAGTGAAAATCTAGATGATATTGTGGAATACCCAGGAAAATCAGATAAAGACAGTTCTAGTGCTTACAACACAGCTGAAAGCTGCAGAAGCACTCCACTCACTGTGGACCATTCACCTGATAGTTCACTCCCAAGAATAATTAACCTCACCAATAAAACAAACCTGAGAGGCAAAATTATTGCCACTCAGGGACAGAGCAGTAATGAGTCCACCTTCACCAAAGGCAAAACCACTGAACATGGCTGCAGTAGTGAAGGTGAGAAGATTTCAGAAAGCAGCAAGTTTTCTGAGCAAGAGAAGATGGGTCGTGAACAAATCTCTTACCTCTCACCTTACCACAGTTCCTCATACAGATATGCAGATATTCCAGCACACGCTAGACATTATCAAAGCTATATGCAGCTAATTCAACAGAAATCTGCAGTTGAGTATGCTCAAAGTCAGCTCAGTTTGGTGAGCATTTGCAAAGAGTCTCAAAAGAATTCAGAACCCAAGATGGAATGGAAGGTGAAAATTAGGAGTGATGGGACACGGTACATAACCAAGAGACCAGTGAGAGATAGAATTCTGAAAGAACGTGCCTTAAAGATCAAGGAGGAGAGGAGTGGCATGACAACAGATGATGACACTATAAGTGAAATGAAAATGGGGCGTTACTGGAGTAAAGAAGAGAGAAAGCAACACCTGGTTCGTGCCAAGGAGCAGCGTCGGCGCAGAGAGTTCATGATGCGGAGCAGGTTGGAGTGTCTGAAGGAGAACCCTCAGAGTGGTAGTGAGGGTAAGAAGGAAATCAACATCATTGAACTAAGTCACAAAAAGATGATGAAAAAAAGAAACAAGAAGATTTTGGACAACTGGATGACAATTCAAGAACTAATGACCCATGGGGCCAAATCTCCTGATGGCATGGGAATTCCTAATGCCTTTTTGTCAGTCACCACTGTGTGACCCAATTAGTTAAATTTAATTTAAGAGGGTGCTACCAGTTTGGGTAGAGTATGATTGCCTCGTTCAATGTGGCATTTTTATATGCATTTAGTGAGTCTTTATAATTTAATTTTTGTAAGAATAATAGCTAGCAATTTTTCATTTGCTATTCATGTACTGACACCTTCTTTTAAACTGAAGTCTTTCTTTACTGCATGATATATTAATGTGACTCATTTATATGTAAAAATGGAAAGAAAACTGAACAAACAAAAATTGAACAGAAGTACTGAAGAGCAAATTAATTTCCTATTCTAAGGTATTCCTTGTAAATTAAAATCTGAAATTATTTATCTAGTTTATTTTCTACTTTAATAACAACTCAATACCAAAACATTTTATGCTTGTTTTTTGCCACGCAGTTGACTTAACTGCATGTAATATATATTAAATCTAATCTTTTCATCAATCTAGTGTCAATTCTAGTCTTATACACAAACCACCTGTTTTTAACACCACACTGTACATTTAACATAAAATGGCATTTTTTGTCTCGGTAAAGTATAAGTGGACAATATTCCTGTAATATGTAGTGACATTAGTCATGTAGCTCAGTAACTGTGTTATCTGTGACAATAAAAGAGAAATAAATTATTGATTATCCTTCAGAAAAATTGTCAAATAGAGTTTTCAAAATTTCCTTGTCCACCATGGTTACCAGAAGTAAGTTAGTTATATATGTATACCACTTAGGAGACTCCTATATTTTCTATCATCTTTAAAAATAAAATTATCTTAAAATACTTTCCACAGATAACTGTGTCATATATTCTTATCAAAATTAAATTAGGAGCACATGTAGAGGATCTAAAGACACTAAGCATTCAGTAAGCATTTATAACTTTATAATGTCTGTCATCCATATAATGTAAAACCAATAAAATTTAAGGAGATACATGGAAATAGAAGGTCAGTGAATTACCTGGGAAGCATTATAACGATTTTATGTGCTTTGGGCAACTTGAGTTTCAAGAGAATATATGGATTAAACAAAAGGAATTTCTTGCAATTCTGGAGGCTGAGGATTCCAAAATTGAGACACCAGCCTATTCAGTTATCTGTTAAGAGCTGTGTTTCATCTTGCGGATATTCACATTATCACTATCTCCTCAAATCATGGGTGGGTGAAAATTCAAGTGAGAGAGAAAGAGAAAATTAGAGAGAGTCAGAGAGAATGCACTAACTCTCAGGTGTCTCATGGGTGGGTGAAAATTCAAGTGAGAGAGAAAGAGAAAATTAGAGAGAGTCAGAGAGAATGCACTAACTCTCAGGTGTCTCATGGGTGGGTGAAAATTCAAGTGAGAGAGAAAGAGAAAATTAGAGAGAGTCAGAGAGAATGCACTAACTCTCAGGTGTCTCCTCTTCCAGCAGCAACTGATTCCCTAATTTGTTCCCCATCATCATGACTGCAACTAAACCTAATAACTACCAAAGCCTCCTCTCCAAAGAGCATACTCTGAGAGGTCAAAGTATCATGTGAATTTGGGTGTGCAGAGACACAAATTACAGCAACATGTGAGTTTATTGAAAATTCAGAAATAATTTTTGAAAAACCATATTTTAATGAATTTTATGATAGACAATTATTAATGCCATATAACTATAGATGTCATATTGTTAAGAACTCTGATTCTAAGATTATCGGATAAATTTTAGTCTAGCCTTTTTATTATATAAACACAAATTATGTCATATGGAAATCATAAAAATTATAACTATTGAATGCGTGCAAATATTAATTTGGTCAAATATTCAACCCTAGATAGTTTTAAAATAACAGATACAATTTTAATATAACTGAAACAACCTTCTTATAGTAAAACCTATATGGCTCCTTATGATTCTTAAATCAAACTTTAATGCCTTTACCTTACACAGTAGTGTCTTTTATTAATTTGCCATCTTGCCTACTGATTTTCTTTAAATCATCTCATAGTTCTGCATCCTTAAAGACTACTCATTTCTACTGAAAGTATCATATGATCATTATTTTTTCTTGTGGTTTTGTATCAAATCCTACATCACTTTAAAGCATAATCATATATTTTTATTCCTTTTTAAGTCCTGTTTTGAATAAGATAGATTTTCTTAGCATTTTCATATAAGCAGTGACACACTTGTAAATTCTTCCGTTTTGAATTATAACAAAGAAATTCTCAATATATGTCATTATGTCTGTATCTTTTATATATATATAAACTATATATAGTATATATATATAATATATATATATAGTTTGGCTCTTTGGACCCCTCTGTGTAAACTTCTAGAAAGATGTTATTTGAAAAATAAATGAATTTTGTTGGCATTACAATATTTTATTCATTTCTCTCATATTGGTACATATATAAATGTTGGTCCTTATTCTTCTACCCTTTGAAGTTCTTATCTTCAGGAGGTCTATTATGTAGATTATAACCCATGAAATTTTTATAAATAATTAAAAATAACTAAAAATTATAAGATCGCAAAAACTATTTAAGACAACTGAATGCCTTCAATCAAATCAATTAAGTTAAATTGCAAATCAAATGGTTTTCAATTAAAATGCCTGTCCATTTTATGTACTGTCATGATACAATGCTTATGCTATTGTTTATCCACTTAACACAGCTGAGTATAAATATTTATTGAATATTAGCTTCTTCCATAGGTAAATGTGCTTTTGAACTAAAATAATTTCTCTTCCAATAAAATGTGTACATAATAAAAGCATTTTTATAAAATCACCAGTTTAATTTTACTTTTAATTTTGCTTTTACTAAGGTAAAATGTGCTTGGCAATATTTTTAAAATGTGATGTTGATGTTTTTCATGTTTGTGTTTATAGATTTCTGAATTTGAGAAATGTCTTTTTCAAAATTAGTGAAAATAGATGTGATAATTATGCTCTATCTTTCTACATAATATATCTTTGTGCTAAACCTTTTATAAATTATTGATAAATATGTTGCTCAACAACAATAATAGAACATTAGCTATATGTGGGACATTCTGTTTCAGTTAAGAAGTATGTGAACTGTTTTACTTGGGCTTTGGAGTTATTTATTACTTTCTATATTCACAATGTGACAAATTGGTGTTGCAAACTTTATGTGAATACAGGGAGGGGCAAAACATATCTTCCATGGGTATTTCCACACTGCATGAAATAAAAAAGGCCGTTCTTGTCATAATATTTTGTGCAGTCTGTCCTTTTATGAACATGTGATATTGAGAGTGACTCCTCTAACACACCATTTCTGTAGTTAAGTATGGATTTAATCAACATATAATAGGGGTATCCAAGTCTTCTACCTAAATATAAACTTTATCTTTCTAGTAAGTTTACATTTTCTACTTCAAATTTCTACTTTTTAATAATTCCACCATTTATCTATTTTCTCATATCCATCACCTAAGTAGTAAACTTTTCTTATGTGTGGTCTTCTTCAACAATAACAAGTAAGCATACGATACACTGTCACCCTTCATGCCTAACTCTACAGTTCTTGAGCTTGTCTCCTCACACATCCTTTCAAGTCTATCAAATACATGGTATTAATACTTTGGTCTGCTAAATATTACTTTCATTACTGTGCTTGGATAATTTTAAGAATATTTATTTTCCTTAGCATGGGTGCCTAAATTATTATCAAAAGACTCTAATAATTTAACTTAAACTTTTTCTTCTATTTCTCATCTCATACTTCCACGCAGGAGGTATCATTCTAGCAAATTTATAAAATTTGTCTTTGATATATACATAGTTTAATGCTCTTTCAGGGCCATAGAGATAGTACAGAGGGCAGTCTTTGCCTCACATGCAGCCAATATGTGTCTGATGCTCAGCACTCTAAATTCTGTTTTTCACTAATTTATTTTATCACAAATATTTTATTGATAAGCATTACTATAAACTAATACATATGATTTAGCATTCATTTTAATTAATAATAAAAGCTACAACAGATTAACCACCAAAATTCATTTTAATTATCAAATTTTTCTTATATTTTGGTGTTACAGCAGTGTTAAAGTTTATGATATCAATATATAAAGTTACTGGACCCCATTACCATCATTGTGAACCTCCATAAGTGTCCTTATATCAGTTTAGTGTGATTTTCTTCTCCCTCCACTCCTATTTTTACTGTTTACCTGTAAGATTTGTAATCCAAGGTCACAGATTTGTCATTGTTTGAAAGAGAAAAAGATTTTTCCCTTTCAATTCCATGATAAAAGAAACATCTGGTAATCATTCTCACTCTTAAGTTGACAGGATATCCTCCACTTATGTCCACATTGCCTATATTCATCAATTTTTACAGCTTCAATGTATTTCATTGTGTAATATTCGTAATTTCTTTATCCATTTTCTGTGGTTAAACATTTGGCTTTGTACCATATTTTGGCTACTCTGCTAATTGCCATAACAAATATCACTGTCACTGTCACAGTCCTCCCGTTGTTCATCAATTTGCTCGAGTGGGCTCAGTAACATTGTGAGACTTGTTACTGTATTTGGCATATTGAATACGTCATGAGTAGCTTGCCAGGCTTTGCCATGAGGGCGAGATACACTCGGTAGCTTGCCGGGCTCTCCGAGAGGGGCAGAGGAATCGAACTTGGGTTGACCATGTCGGCAGCGTGCAAGGCAAACGTCCTACCCGCTGTGCTATATCGCTCCAGCCCATAACAAATATAGGAATGCATATATATTTAAAAACTAATATTTTTGTGTTCTTGGGGGTAGATGCCAAGAAATGGAACTACTGGATCACATAGGAGTTCTACATTTTTTGAGACATCCCCATACTCTCATCAATAGAGGCTGAGTAAAATGATCCCACCATCAGTGATTATACTTCCATTTTCACCATATCTTTGCAAGCACTAAATGTTTCAAGACTTTATATACTTTTTAAATGAACTTTTAGAAATAATTTTTAATATTTTATTTTTAATAATTTAAAAAAATAATCTGGTGCTCACATCACCCCATGGAGAATTTTGCCTATGTTTTCCACAATGTATTTTATGGATTATGGTTTGATTTTTTTTAATTTTTATTACTGAAACACCATGAGGTTCAGTTGTAGACTTA